GTAACTTTTCTTTTACCACCCCTCCTAGTCTTTTACCCCCCTTTGTTTATACCACTCTTTCCTTTATATATATTTTACTATAATAGGGTGTGTCTACAACGCGCGTTAAAATTTGCATATAACATTAGCGCGTAACAAAGTTGTGATAAAGGAAAGAGTGGTATAAACAAAGATCAGTGATTACTTGAAATCGATACCATGGCAGGGGGGGGGTAAAAGAAAAGTTATATAACATTTTATTATTTAATAATTTATTAAAATACATAAGTTTGTCTAACTCCCTGTGATGGGACGCTATATTATGACTGTATATTATTAAATATATTAACGAATATTAAACCATTTTAAATAACTAATACCGGCTTATCACTGCAGTGCATTCGTTACTATGGGGATCCTTTCTCGAAATATCAGCTATCTTCCGCTGTGCTCCTTCCATGGCTTTCAAAACATAATTTTCTTCTGAATCGCATTCTCGGTGGCGAGGCACAGGTGATCATGGCTCAATGTCATTCTGTAAAATAATTGCTCGCGAATGAAGTATTGCATTTTTTCATTTCTTATTAGGATTTATGTGATACATTGTGGTGCATGGTGGGAAATAAGTGTCATTCTAGATTGGAAGCCGCAGCTCAAGGCACGTCGTGTGGGAAACACAACGAACACAGGGTGAGTGTTTTTTATTGGATTCATTTTTCTGATGCGCACACTGCGCAACGCGTACATGGTTCATTTAAGGCGCGGTGGTCGTAGCCGCGCGCAACGCGTGTTCGAATTTCATGTAAATAAACAATGTATTTTACACGCGTTGTATACGTCGATTTATAGGATGCAGCACGACGACTACCGCTCTTTAAGTATCTACTAGTATGAACAAAACACACCAATTCCTCTAATTTTTATAAATATTCATAAATTTATCAATCCAAACTCAATCAAGTGGTTTCTATTGGCTGATGGAATAACAATGAAACGTTTTTAAATTTCGTCACTGTGCACTACGCTCGTTGGTTAGATGGTTTGATTCAACGCCAATTAAATTCATATATATTTATTAAAATGGAGGAAACTGGTTTGTTGTGTGGACAGTAAAAATAATGCTCCGTGATTATAATTACTTTATATATATTTTCCAGTGGTGCTTCGCCGGTGCATGTGTTGAAATGGAAGATCCAACAGGCGCCATCAACGGCAACTGGGGGAAATGGAGTGAGTATTCATCGTGTTCCCGAACGTGTGGTGGCGGTATATCATTCTCTGAGCGTCACTGTGACAACCCTGAGTAAGTTTCACTTATTATTTCTTCTATAAAAGTTATTGAATTGAGTAATAAGACAGCAAATAATCCACCATTGTTAGAATATATGGTGTTTGACCTTGACTTTGATGTGTTCACAGACCTCAATATGGTGGATCATACTGCGTTGGTGAGCGAAAGCGTTACCACATATGCAATATGGAGGTAAGTCGATTATTTTTATTATTTTTCCCATTTAATTCGGCATGTTTTTGATGCTAGGTGCTGCTCAGTTCCACTGGCAATATTTCTTACTTGCAGAATTTTTCCTCTGTCTTCAGCCTTGTCCCGTGGAAGCAGAAAGTTTCCGTGCGTGGCAATGTAGTCAATTCAACTCCAAACCATTTCAAGGCAACCTGTACGAATGGGTTCCGGTATTCAGAGAAGGTACACATTTACTTTAACATTCGTCACTACTTCGCAATGTAAATAGCTTATAAAATTAAATAGGACTTACAAAAAATACGAAAAGTGACGTAATAGGGAAATTTAACTTTCTATATCATAAATCATTACAGAGTCTATACGGGAATGAATAGTCACGTCAGACCTCACGGTCAACACCAAAACTAACATCTACTTAATGTGATTTTATTCTAGACAAACCATGCGAGCTTCACTGTAAACCTAAGAACGGGTTCTTCAGTACCAAACTCATGGAAACCGTACTAGATGGGACACCGTGTTCGTACGAGTCTAGAGACATGTGTATATATGGAATATGTATGGTAAGTCAGCACGTGGTTCTAAGATCATGGTACAAATTGTGAAACTTCTTTTTAGGTCCGCTGTCGACTTTGTCGATCGGAGCTTATCATATGAGTGATTGTCCGTCGTCGTCTGTCGTCGTCCGTCGTCGTCGTCCGTCGTCGTCCGTCGTCCGTGTCAATGTTTTACTTTTTCGACTTCTTCTTGAAAACTACAAGCCTGAATGCTTTGATACTTGGTGTATATGTACCTTGGGTAGACCTCTCTTAGGTTTGTTCATTTCATGTTGATATCTTCAATTCTCTAATTTTGGTGAATATTTTTGTCACTTTTGGTAAAAAGTGATATTTTCGACTTTTTGTTAAAAACCGCAAGTGCAATTACTTTGATATTACATATATAGGTACTACATGTGGACCTCTCTCAGATTTGTTCATTTTGTAATGATATCTTTAATTCTCTAATTTTGGTGAATATTTTTGTCATTTTTGGTAAAAAGTGATATTTTCGACTTCTTGTTAAAAACCGCAAGTCCGATTGCTTTGATATTACATATATAGGTACTACACGTGGACCTTTCTCAGATTTGTTCATTTTGTGATGATATCTTCAGTTCTCTAATTTTGGTGAATATTTTTGTAATTTTTGGTAAAAAGTGATATTTTCGACTTCTTGTTGAAAACTGTAAGTCCGATTGCTTTGATATTACATATATAGGTACTACATGTGGACCTCTCTCAGATTTGTTCATTTTGTGATGATATCTTCAATTCTCTAATTAATTTATTTTGGTGAATATTTTTGTAATTTTTGGTAAAAAGTGATATTTTCGACTTCTTGTTAAAAACTGTAAGTCCGATTGCTTTGATATTATTCATATTGTTCATTTTCTAATGATGTCTTCAGTTCTTTAATTGAAATGTGCATTGCTAACAGCGGAGCTATCTCAGCCGATAGGCTGCTTGTTTATATTTTTTACCTGTTTGAAATACCGTTATTTCCCGTCTATACAGGAAGTTGGATGCGATTACAAGATCAGATCCACCGCAAAAGAAGATCGATGTGGAGTGTGTCATGGTGACGGGTCGACATGTAAAAAAGTGCAGGCAGAATTCAACAAACCATCTGGCCTAGGTAAATTTTATTAGGACAGGACACAACATTATTTACACAGAAACTCGAAATGATGAGTGGGAATGTATCGCGGCTCCTTTATTCTTAAATAACTTATATTATAACTCCATATGCTTCATCTCAGGTTACGTGGAGGCGACTGTCATCCCAGCGGGTGCTAGAAATATTCGAGTTGAGGAGGTAGCCGCAGCCAATAACTACCTTGCCCTGAAAGACGACAGTGGGGAGTATTACCTGAATGGTCACTGGTTTATACAGTGGAGTGGAGAGTACAAAGCAGCGGGCACTATTGTCTGGTACGAACGCACGGGAAATAAAGAAAAGTTCAGTGCTGCTGGACCGACAAAACAGCCCCTACATATAATGGTAATTAACATCACTAGAATAAATACAGCACATTTCATGAAGGCGTGTATAATTTAGCATTAATACCCATCTGCTTCAAATCCTAAGAATTCGGTTTTATGACTAAAGAAACCATACAGTAACACCAATTACCCATGAGTCCTAGCGGGCATTCAGTCGTCATTTTAAAAAAATTATAAATTATTTAAGTAAAAAAATTCATACCTCTGTAAATATAGTAAGCAAATTCAGGCACATTATAAATAATAATTCTGATTATTTAAAAACTCGAACGGCATGTGCTCACTATTTGAACGCGTTGAGTGATGTAGGCTGTGACGTGACGTGATACGCGAGCGATTCGCAAATGGAGCACGACGTCTGTCTTGCCTATACAATCGTCTTGTTTCAATTTGAATAAGACATAGTGCATGGTGCAAACCAAATGCATGGTATAAACACCCCGTTTCCGACTTCCGTGTAAATTTTATAGGAACTTGCACCCTTTTCTTTTATATACTAGATAATTGTCAAAGACAACCGAGGATAAACTGGTGGAGACGTGTGTAATTACACAAGTTGTAAATAATGTATTGGTGTTTCATCATTTACAGCTACACCCCATTTCGGTGGCATCGTTTTCTATTATCACGCGCCTCATAACAATGACTTTTCAAGACATTAATAACAGATGATACAGACATAACACAACCTTGGCGCATGTGTATTGCAAGCATTACACTGAATTATGTCATCGGTTGTAGCAAAAAACTTATTAATTTCATATCGCGAAGTATTCCTATAAAATGTCCGCTATCTTTTTTACAGCTGTTATTTCAAACGGAAAATCCAGGCATTACGTTTGAATACACGATTCCGAAAGATGAGAATGAAACGGAGCCCAGAAAGTTGCAGTTTTCCTGGGAATACGGGGATTGGACGCATTGCACAAAGACATGTGGTGGAGGTCAGTATTACGTGCATTCGAATTTAGGCAATAACGCTTAAAGCGAAGGAGTCGTCACCTGCGCATGCGGCAAAGGGCCACAGCGTGACGTTGTTTACAAACAAGCGTCTACCCTTGAATCTTTGCGTTTTTAGCGTGCGTTGTTATCGTCGTCTGGGACTCAATTCCCGCGCGTGCGCAGATGACGACCCTCCCACTTTAAGTCTCCAGCGACGCTAATTTTGATACTATACATAGAGTATGCAGCGAGTGAATTTATTCAGCTTGTAGCTTATATTTTCTGATTTTGTCTTAATAGGCTCACAGGTATCAGATGCAGTTTGTACCGAAAAAAGTGCAGGCATAGTTGATGACCAATATTGCAATTCAACTACCAGACCACGTAAGAAGCAAATGTCATGTAATGTGCAAGACTGTCCACCATCGTAAGTATGGAGCAAAGACACGTTCTCAAACGATCATTATTTTACTTTAAGAGTTATTTGCCATTCTCTAGTCCCAATCAGGAGCTAGGGGCCCCATTCAGCCCGCATAAAAAACAATTGACAAATCAATTGATATACCCAGCCCACGTCAATAGGAGCGCCCCTTAGCGAATTTCTGGGTCCGCCAATAGTGTGTTATAATTAATTACACATCAAAGCAGTACACTTCGAACACTTCCCGTTCGGGACAATTAATTCGTTTGTGTTCGTACGTGTGGAGTAATTTCGCAGACTTTGTACGAGGACAATGCAAGGCATTTATTCCACAATATGACTAACTGGCGGCCATATTTACTCGTGTTTTACCTCTAGTTCCCGAATACACCACACCCACACCCGTTCATATAATATTCAAATCACGACGGTTAATGATTCTAATCACAGTTATTCAATGTTGTTGCGTTTAGGCTTCATATCAGTGCATTTATTTTATACAATTTAAAGAGAGATGGCATTATATTATATACAACGTATTGTATTTACTTTGTTCCAGGTGGTGGAATGGGGCCTGGCAACACTGTTCGGTCACCTGTGGTAACAATGGCACAAGGCAGCGATCCGTTATATGTGTGCGAAGTATCAGTAACGACGAGCAGGTGGCACTGTCTGATGAGACGTGTAAAGTGCTGGGGTTAGAAAAACCACACGATTCAGAGCCATGTGAAACTCATGTTCCATGTCCAGAAGACGCTATATGGTTGACAGATCAGTGGTCAAACGTGAGTAAAACTCGTTCACACATTTTGCAGAAAGAATGGAATTACTTGTCCCGCGACGTTTGGTGATTTCTGTGGGAAATACTTTTTAGTAGACGAATGGAAATATTGCCATACTAATAGTATGTATATAAGTATTAGGCCAGATGTGTATTAACACCACCAACCCATGTTTGTCATTACTGTTGTAGTGTTCATCGAAATGTGGCGAAGGTGTCCAGACCCGAACAGTGAAATGTAAAGTTGCCGAACAGTACTGTGCTCTCTCGGACAAACCGGAAACCGAAATGCATTGTTTTGTGGACTGTTTACCAATCACAAATAACACTGTTGAAACAGACAATATTGAAACTCTCAAGAAACTGAATAATGTGGAGATTTTCCGCAACAACTACAACCAAAACGGCAGCCTCAGACATGGTTTCAAATACACTTATGAAGATGTGTTGCTAGGAGACGACGGTGGCGCCAAGCAACAACCGGATCCCAATAATTACGATGATTATGAACACGAAAGCGATCCTCTTTTAGATGGTATTAGTTTTGGCGAGTATGAGAAATTCTTGCGCGAAGGACAGAGTTTGGATGAATGGATTGCAAGAAGAGCTGAAAGCGAAAAAGACAGCGAAAATGATAAAAAATCTGACGCCATTTTGGATTACTATGACGGTATCGCGGTAGACGAACAGACTTTATTCAATAAGAAAACTGAAAACGAAGTTTTAAAAGAACCAGTTATCAAGGTTTCGGTCGCCAAAAAAATGTACAGGAAGGAAAAGAATGCACATATTAAAGAAAATACGAACAGTACTTCGCGGAATCAAACTACCACAACTCCAACAAGTGAACATTTACAAACTGAAACTATTACCAGTACACACATCCCGGATAGAACTGTTGAATATGTCACAAAAATAAACACAGAACATGCATGGACGTCATCAAGCACGATACAAACATCAACTACGGTGTCACATACGACACATCTTGAAGTGGGCGAGTGGGTCACCGGCAACTGGAGTGAGGTGGGTGAACATTACAATAGTCAGCGAAATCGAATTTGTCTACTAAGCGCAATTATAGTTTTATTTTAAAGCGGGGAGTTCTCACCTGCGCATGCGGTAGACGGCCATAGCGTGTCGCTGTTTACAAACAAGCGTCTACCCATGAACCTTTGCGTTTTCAGCGTACGTTGTTATCGTCACTTAGAACTCAATTCCCACGCGTGCGCAGGTGACGACCCCCTCGGCACTAACTTTGAGTTCCCGAAATCGCTACCCAATGGAATTTTGTCCTCACAATTCGAAACTATAATAAATTATTATTATTATGAATTATAGAAATTATAAACAATTACATTCATTTCATCCTGTAGTGTTCAGTGTCTTGTGGGAAGGGGAGCCGACATCGAGATGTTAACTGTTCAATTCCACATCGCTGTGATCACAGTATGAAGCCGGAAAGACACTCGCACTGCATGCTAGGTGAATGTGCAGAGTGGGTGTCCGGATCATGGAGCCAGGTAAATCTTTTATTCACAGCCATTTTTTCTTTATTAATCTTTCAATTCTGACCGGGCGTATGCGTTGTTAACAGAATTATCAATATCTTAATATAACCAGGAAAGATCCTGGTAAAGTGTAACTTTTTTCGCCTGTTGGTTTTGTCGTCAGGACTGATTTAGAGCTGGTGCGAGCGAACCATGGACCCTATTTTTTCGTTGCTCATACAACACGCATTGCCAAAAATATAATGTTGTAAAATCGCCATTGTAAAAGTGTGCCCCTGGTCCTGATCCGATGTTCTCCGAGAAAACTGTCATTTTGATTTTTTCCCAAATCCCTAAATTAAAGGCCGGTGGTTGTCGCGCAGCGCGTGTTCGAATTTCGTATACACAAACAATGTATTTTACACGCGTTTTATACGTCCGTATGAGTCCCATATCGAACAAAACGCGGCGAGACAACTGCCGCCATTTAAGCATATAAACCCTGTTACCATTGTAGAGTAAAACTTGATATACATGTTAACCATTTAGTCTTTGTGTTGTTTCAGTGTTCGGTCACGTGCGGTAAAGGTTATCAAAGTCGAAGCGTCGAGTGTGTGGATTTGTCTTTGGACGAACCTGCTACCGGATGTGACGTTGATAGCGAGCCAGCGTCCAGACAAACATGTACATTATCAGACTGTCCCGCTCAAAACTCAGGTTGGTTTTAATTAAACAATAATTAAACGTTCTTGTCCTTAATGCTACACTAACTAGAAATACTGACATCTATATTGTCACCTCGGATGTAATAACGTCGTAGCTAGTACGTAATTTTGTTTATGATTAATGTTCGTCTTCGTTTGTTATTTTCTCGTTACAGAGTTTTTTAAGTGTAATGGCGACAATTTGAATTCTAGGCTATGCAGTGTCATGAAAAACATCGGGAGATGCAATAACCCGAATTATCGAGCGCAATGCTGCGCCACGTGTCAAAGATGAAAATGACTTCTATGAGCAATTTATTTCAAAGAAAAATCTCCAGTCATACTTACTCTTCATTGTTATGATGTTGTTATTTGAGATTGACAATTACAAATATGCCTCTTTCAAAGGTTGATTGCTGTCCAAGTACGTTCAACGTGTGGGCTAGCTGTGCACAGGTCAATCAATGTCAAGTGAACATAAGCATACAAAAGGTTTCCCAGTGCGAGAGTGAATACGCAATGAGCTGATCGATCCGTGACATTCAGCAACTTCGTACTTAATGGAGGCGTTATATAGACACAGAAGACGTGCTCATAGTCTGTAAATAAATAGATGCAGTTTATCCCAGTTTTAGAGGTCAAATTAGAGGTTAAACCGACTACCACAGATCACCAAGACGTGAAACTGAAATCATATATACCTTACAAAAATTTTAAGTAATCATCTTCAAAACAGCGTGTTTTTATTTTATATTATTTGTACTACTTCCACAGAATGGTGCTAACAATACAGTGTACCTCAAAGAGAAAGAGAGATCACCAAGGCAACAATATCCTTACTAAATGGCAATATCATATTTATTATAACATATTGATAATTTATTAAAACCAGAAGCTCTATTATAACCTGCATTATAACCTGTTTTTATTAATACAAATAGCAATACTTTTCTACAGAACATTGACGTATAACATATACATGTGCCATAATTGGAATATCCTACGCATTTTCTTATTATGTACACATATGATATAATATCTATATATTGGGACTTGTTTTATACGTATGTAGAGTTATATGAAAGTTATTATACATTTAAACCATTACATGTATTTCTAGCAGTTTTGATTGTGAATTTCTCATCAGAACGAATCGAGAGTATAGGTTGGGTAGAACATACTATTATTTTGCTAGGTAGAGCGCCTTTTTTTTAAATGTTAGCCAATTTTTATGTTTGCCTTTAGTCGTAGAGACGCTGTTATTCCAAGACAGTCGAATTGACTACAGGGTGCTTACTGTTTCGAAGGTATTGGAACTGATCTAACTATATCTAGACTACTCTCTTTCTCCAGCAAATATTTTGTAAACTGAGATGTGTTTTTTTTTAAACAGTGGCATAACACTTGCCTATACATTTTGTCGTGGCCCAGGTGTGAATGGTTGTCTTTACAGACAGACCATTCTATGTATTTACATGACTTATAAGTTGTATTTGGAGTTATCCGTAAAGTTATTTTGAAATAAAAAAAATGTTTAAAAAGTTTTTAAAAAGATCCCATTCCGCTTTATTTTGACCATTAAGTTGTTCGTGTGGAATCGGCGAATGACCAGCACAAAGCCCACTGCTATTAGATTGCTGTCCCCTTGTTAATTAGATTACTCATGTAATGTGTATTCCACGTGTCTTGTAACATGACTAGGCCGTTTCAATCAAAAGATGTTTAGTATTTCGTTTACTATGCCCCTATTGTTGCACATTTTGACTAATTCGTCCTAGAAAAATCATGAAATCCTTCTTGGACGAGTTTTTTTTACCGAATACTCGTCGTTCAGTCACGGTAATGGCAGGAAGAACGATGGGGTAATCTCAGCCGTCACTCATGAGGATATTGCTGCTACTTGTTGATATATGTTGTATATTGTTTTGATGCTAGTCCCCGATCTGCAAAACCTGACAATAACATACCCAGTAGATTTGTCAACACAAGTAAGTGTAAGGGAATTCTTACAAGAAAGTCTTACAAGTTTAATAGAACACTAATAGTCAAACCAGAACGATATATATGGGTATACATGAATTTGTATGAAATGAAATTGTCCTAAAATATATATTGGTATTGTACTTAGTTATTTGTAAGTGTGTATGTTTAAATATTCGAATTATCCATTGTTTTGGCCTTGTTCCGGCATACAAGACTACCGGGGTTTATAATATGAGGTTATTACGAGGATACCTCAAAGTATGCACGAAGACAGTACAGCGGGAGTATCGACCGACGCGCAGCAGAGATCGAGTTATTATACGTCTTTTCTTTCATAGATACACCATGGGAATGTCGAAATCCAAAATGTTTAGAACAGAATCAGCGAACTTCTTTGTGTGGAGTCCGTTCAACCCTGGTGGCAGCCATGTTTTTTTTATTATAAGAGGACTCTTTCGCGCGTAGTCATTTAATATTTGGAATTCGCATTTCCTTATATGGTAGGATGAAAACACCCCGTAAAATACCGCAAAATTACGGCACACTGTAAATTATGGTGTTACGATGACAGATGTATAATAATAAATATTATTATACGTATCCTTGAAGTATCCTTGGAATGAAAAGATATATATTAATAAGGTTATTACAAAGATTCCTCAAATTAGGACGGTGTACTGTCTGAGTATCCTCGTAATAACTTCATATTAACATACTCCAACGCATACACTTACTTTTACTTGTGCTATGGCAGATTAAAGTGTAATACTCGTTTGAATTGCATATGTCTGACTATTATAGATTATCTGACTATATGTCGAAAACGACTTCCTTACGAATTACCTTTTGAAACGCGACATATCGTGGTTTGAAAAGATATATTTAATTCCAACGGCTAATCAAAATCATACTATTGGCCAATAATAAAGTTGTTATCATAAAATTCACGAGCGATTAAAGTTGGTTAATTTCAAACTATTTTCTCTATATCTAAATTCGTGCTGTTATATAGTTATGGTATTTATTAAATACACCACCCAACCAAAACTTCGCCCATGGGCGATGTTTCAGCAGGTTGGGGGAATTTTAGTTACAAAATTTCGCTATCAAATTATTTACGAGTCATAGAAATATCTAAATGCAGATCAAAGTTTCAGAAATGTGTCGTGAGTATTCTAATTTCGGTGCCATTTTCAGAACATTTCAATCTATCATGCGCCTAAGTTAAAGCTCAATTTACGTACTTCGCATTAGCTTACGCCTATTCAAGTAGATGATTGAAAATTGTGACTAGCATGAATGGACAAACTTAGATAGACAATGAGCTGCTACCACCATGAAAAATGTTAAATGCTTTTTTAATGGTCAGTTCATCTCCCGAAAATTTCTTATTTCTTATAAAAACATTGTGTTTTTTTTACCAAAATCAACGATCGCAGTTACGGGTCAACTCGTGCTAGAAACAAACATGACAGATATCATCGAGTGTTTACGTGGGAACACAAACATTAACCACACAATAAGAACACAACGCTTGAAGAGCACGTATCAAAAGAATAAATGTGTCACAAAACTTTGTTAATTTTTCAGCATAATAACTTTATATAATATAATATTGTCTCACGGTTTAGCAGACTTACTGTTCCGAGAAAATAGTACTACATGTATTTGGAAATATTTAATCAGATGCCCCACTGATAAAATAATAATCGGCTTCTAGTATTAGTACTTATTCATTGAGCAAATTAGTTACCTGTGAGAGATTGTACCAACGTTTATTTATAATTTATAATTGGTCTAAGCATACTACATGCAGTGCGTAGGAGTGATAATCAGGAACAACATCGGAAGATTAACCTCGTATATTAATAACACACATGCGAGCATGACTTATGGTACTGCTAATGGGTTGTGGTGGTCTCTAATATCACTAGGATATTAATGTTATTATGACAATGTAACGAAGCATTCTCTTAGGTTCAGTGAAAGATATTGCGCAAAGAGAACAACTGTGAACTGAGAGTAATACAATATGGAAAGTTATTTATTAGTAGATTGGCATCCTCACATATACCATCTCAAGAGAGATATATCCCAATATAGTATATAGTTTAGATTATGCAAAATAAAACATTGCACAACAAGTCAGCGTGGAATAGCGACTTCAAATTCAAGGAGATTAATAAACATTGTTTGCTGTTATTTACATTGATTCAAAATACGTAATAATTTGTTAAAAAAACAATATATACGTTATTAACACGTTATTTTATTTAAAAATTGAACTATCAAATTCTAAATTTCCTTAGTGAAAACGTGGATTTCAATTGCATCTCAATTCAAATAAAAGATAAGCTCATCCTCGTCAGCTGTAGCAATGTACCAAAGAGTAGAAGTGATTTTGCTGATTGTCGATATACAAATCATGTTTGCGAGAACACGAGACACACGCACTCCTTGGGGATCGTTATGTTGCGTCATATACAGCTTTGGGTATTTTACGAGTAATGTATAAATGATCAATCAAAACTCCCCCCTTCGGCATTTGAACGATTCGCAAAATTTGCATTGAAACATTTCAAACGCGCTTTACCAGCGGGTACTGAATGCTCCGGTGTTATATTTTTATTATATGAGTAATTATGTTTATACGTGTCAACTGAAACAATTTCTTAATTATTTCCGGAGAAACTTAATTATATTATGTTTGCCTGTTGGCTAGCAACTTCAAATGCAGATATTATGCGAATATCATAGCTGTCGTAGACTACTCGACGGATCAGATAATTTAAACTTTGCCGACAACTTTAAGGACAATACAATTAATTGTAAAAAATAAAAACATTTCCGCAAATATAATTGAACTCTAAACTTTGAACTCTGAATTCTCACATTGAACCACGAGTTGTTCTTCACGATTCTGGTTAAAATCAATGAAGCATTGTTTCACAATGTAACATGGCTTGAATTTTGATTAATTCGAACAAAGCAATAAGTGTTCCACCAGGGAATAATATAAATATTTTTGTTGTTAAAATGTGTCTGACGGAAGCAAACAAATCAAAATTAAGTTAATACACATAATGTTGTTTAACACCGAATGATGTTGAACTAGTTTCTTCTGGTTCACTAGGGAAACGAATAGAAAAATAACAATAGACCATGCTAGAACCCAATTCCGTAGATATTTGCACAGTTATTTTGCTGGCAATTTATCCATGGGACGTATATATATTATTATTATTTATTTATTTCACCAGTATAAAAAAAAATTATCATGTACAGGACAAAATTGTATAATACTGGTGATGATCATGGAATAGTCCATTCAGACTAGTCTAGTCCATGCTCTTGTTATATTAAATAATAAATTAAGTCGACATAAAAGTCACAGTAAACAAACAAAAGTAATGAATTAAATAAATGAAATCAACCAGTAAATAATATAATCAATCTTCACAATGAATGAATGAATGAATAAATATGCTCTATGTACATAAATAAATATCACTCACTGTGAAGCATTTTCTTCAGCTCTCGTTTGAAAATGCTTCTACTGCCCATGCTTTATTAGGGTGAGGGGCAGAGAGATCCAGTGTTTACTTGGTAGCATATTGAAAATTATGCTGTGTAATGGATAAACGCATGTAAGTAACAGTGAAGTTACCAGTAGCACCAGATGTGGTTGGATAGGGATGAATGTACTGAGGGAAATAATCGCTGACACCATGGACAAATCGATTTGTTTTGAGGGCAAAAAAGAAGAGACATGTCTGAAATTTAGCGAGTTTGTTAATATCAAGAATAGCAGGTTTACGAAAAAGAAGTGCAGAGAAAGCGTAGTAATCAGAAAAGGTGATTAACCGTATGACTTTCTCTTGCAGTCGTAGTAAAGGGTCAAGATGGGTAGAATATGTGTTGCCCCAGAGCTCAATACAGTAGGATAGATGAGGTAGTATAAGAGTGTTGTATAACAGAATAAGGACAAAGCGTGGAACATAATGTCAATCACCAATCTTCGGGTTTATTGTTTTAATGATCTTTTTAATGTGATTTTTCCAAGTCAGAATGCAGGCAATTGTCACACCAAGATATGTTGCTGGAGCAACGCCCTCTATCTGGGCATTGTCTATTTTGAAAGTGCCTTCTATTGCTATTTTTTGTGTGCTGTTTTAAGAAACATGTAATTAGTTTTTTCAGTGCTTATTGTGAGTTTGTTAGCCTTACACCATTGTGAAACGTTTTTGAATTCAGCAGTTAAAGTGTCAAGATTAACGGTTTCTGAGTTTAAGTGTTTAAACAAGTTAGTATCATCAGCGAATAGGCGAAAGTTAAAAGCATTAGTAGATTTGTGAATATCATTATTATAGATAAGAAAAGGTATAGGCCCAAGATGGAA